CGATTCTGCCATAAGGACTATATCGTCGGCAAATCGAAGGTGAGTGATGTACTCGCCATTGATGTTGATACCGTATCCTTTCCAGTCCAGAAGCTTGAAAACATCTTCCAATGCAGCGGTAAAGAGTTTCGGGGATATAACGTCACCCTGTCTTACACCTCTCTGCAATTGGATAGGTTTCGTACTCTGGTTCTGTACTCGGATAGCCATCGTAGCCCTACTGTACAAGCACTTCAACACTTCGATATACCGACAGTCAACTTGGCATCGCTGAAGGGACTGCAGCACCGCCCAAACTTCGACGGAATCAAAGGCTTTCTCATAGTCTACATACGCCAGACATAGTGGCAAATTGTACTCCTCGGACTTCTGTACAATTTGCCGAAGGGTATGTATGTGGTCTATGGTGCTAAAGCCTTTTCGGAAACCGGCTTGTTCGGGAGGCTGGAAGTCGTCAAGTCTGCGCGCGAGACGATTCGTAATGACTCTCGAAAACAGCACGTAGACGCGGCTCAGAAGGGAAATCGGTCTGTAGTTCTTCAAGAGAGCGTTGTCGCCTTTCTTGAAGAACAAGACTACCGCACTTCTGCTCCACGCCTCCGGTGTAATGCCACCATGGAGGACGGAATTAAAGAGCTTCTGAAGGACTTCAAGTACCGGTTTTCCACCCGCTTTCAGAAGCTCCGCTGTAATTCCATCCTCGCCTGGGGCCTTGCCGTTTTTGCCTAGGCCTAGGCCGTATAATTATAAAATTAAATAAACCTAAAATGTCAGCATTTATAGCAATTACTACACAACAATTACTGATCATCTAAAAATTACTAATCCTATCAAAAAGTAAACATAAATATGTACAAACTAAACCTAAATAAATAATAGATTACGAGAAAACCTACAATGTTTTGCTTGAAAAAAACTGAGAGTTTACTTACAGGAGTAGTGAAGGCTCTAACTTTTTTATTGAACAGCTTACTCAAAAGTTAAAAGAATCACTGAATGAGGCTAAAATTAGTAAGTAGTTTCTAAAAAACCAATGAACCATAAAGCCTTAGATCAGTACAGGTATTTTACGATGTATAAAGGTCATAAATCAAATGCAGCTTAAACTAAAGTCTGACCCAGATAATAATATTCTAAAAATAACATTTAAAAGATATCGCAATCAGTGCAATAATTTGGTAAAAAAAACTAAAAAGAAAATACGAACGGGAACAACTTACTAACACTTATAAAAATTCAAAAAATCTTTGGAAAAAACACATAGTAATGAACTCCTTAAAATAAAATCATCTCCTAATGAATCAATTAATTTTGTTGGTGAATGTTTTGCTAATATTGGAAAACACTAGATAATGACATTAATATGACTAAAACTCCTATACAAACACACAGACTTGTCGAACCCCAAAATACAAGTCTTCATTTGACATCATTCGTTTTTATGACACTGCTCCCCAGTAAGTTGTCCTTACTATTGATAGTCTAAAAACTGATAGTGCTGCTTGTTGGGACAATATTCCGACTACGTTTCTGAAATGGTGTAAGTTCCTCATCGCCCCTATGATTAGTCACTTGGCTAACCTTTGTTTTCTTACAGGTTTTTTCCCGACCTCACTTAAAAAATCTTTAATTACTCCGGTTTATAAAAGTGGTAAAACTCTATCTCAGTCCTTACATCTATTTCAAAAAATTTGGAAAAAATAATGTACATTCGACTCGTTAAGTATTTAACTAAATATAACATATTATCAAAAAATAACTTGGATTTAGACAAAAAATCCTACTGAAAATGCGGTTTTAGCCCTCACTTCTTTAATAGTTGAAGATGTTGATCACGGAAAAATGTATTACAGTTTTTCTTGATTTAAAAAAGGCATTTGATACCCCCCTCTCTTTCCCCGAGAGAGAGACGGGTACTATAGTTGCTAAAGTGGAACATATCGGCATTCGAGAAAAACCACTTGAATTGCTGAGGGACTATTTGCAGGGCCGAATCCAGAGGGTAAAAATTGCAGACAACCAAAGCCAAGACTTCAATATTACTTACGGCGTACCACAGGGGAGTGTCTTGGTCCCTACTCTATTTTTGATACATATAAATCAGCTCGCAGAATTAAATATCTTGCTTGGCCAAGTCCTTTGTGTGCTGATGACACTGCTATTTTGTTTACTCGTAGTACTTGGAAAGGTGTATTTGAGGAGGCTGAAAAAGATCTTTCTAACGTCTCTAGATAGCTTAGACATAATATACTAACACTAAATGTTAATAAAACTAGCTATATGTGCTTCACTATAGATAAACAAACACAACCCTCTAGTGAAACTTCACTAAAAATTCATCAATGTGATGATTCGGAGCTTTTAAATATATTTATAAAAAAACTTGAGCGAGTAGATTACACAAAATATCTTGGAATAATTCTTAACCAAAGTCTTTCATTGATTACTGTAATACATTTTTCCGTGATCAACATCTTCAACTATTAAAGAAGTGAGGGCTAAAACCGCATTTTCAGTAGGATTTTTTGTCTAAATCCAAGTTATTTTTTGATAATATGTTATATTTAGTTAAATACTTAACGAGTCGAATGTACATTATTTTTTCCAAAATTTTTGAAATAGATGTAAGGACTGAGATAGAGTTTTACCACTTTTATAAACCGGAGTAATTAAAGATTTTTTAAGTGAGGTCGGGAAAAAACCTGTAAGAAAACAAAGGTTAGCCAAGTGACTAATCACAGGGGCGATGAGGAACTTACACCATTTCAGAAACGTAGTCGGAATATTGTCCCAACCAGCAGCACTATCAGTTTTTAGACTATCAATAGTAAGGACAACTTCCTGGGGAGCAGTGTCATAAAAACGAATGATGTCAAATGAAGACTTGTATTTTGGGGCTCGACAAGTCTGTGTGTTTGTATAGGAGTTTTAGTCATATTAATGTCATTATCTAGTATTTTACAATATTAGCAAAACATTCACCAACAAAATTAATTGATTCATTAGGAGATGATTTTATTTTAAGGAGTTCATTACTATGTGTTTTTTCCAAAGATTTTTTGAATTTTTAGAAGTGTTAGTAAGTTGTTCCCGTTCGTATTTTCTTTTTAGTTTTTTTTACCAAATTATTGCAATGATTGCGATATCTTTTAAATGTTATTTTTAGAATATTATTATCTGGGTCAGACTTTAGTTTAAGCTGCATTTGATTTATGATCTTTATACATCGTAAAATACCTGTACTGATCTAAGGCTTTATGGTTCGCTGGTTTTTTAGAAAGTACTTACTAATTTTAGCCTCATTCAGTGATTCTTTTAACTTTTGAGTAAGCTGTTCAATAAAAAAGTTAGAGCCTTCACTACTCCTGTAAGTAAACTCTCAGTTTTTTTCAAGCAAAACATTGTAGGTTTTCTCGTAATCTATTATTTATTTAGGTTTAGTTTGTACATATTTATGTTTACTTTTTGATAGGATTAGTAATTTTTAGATGATCAGTAATTGTTGTGTAATAATTGCTATAAATGCTGACATTTTAGGTTTATTTAATTTTATAATTATACGGCCTAGGCAACTATTTTCACGTGCAGGAAAATTATGTCCATTTAACAAACCGTGTGTAGATAACATGCACAAATAATTTATTCTATTATTGCATTCATATAATTTTTCATTGGATTTAGGAATTATATTAATGTCACCTGTGATAGTAACATTAGCAGAATTAATAGTTGACAAATTGTTGTTTAGGAAATCTATAAAATTTCATGCGTTACTATTGGATGGGGAGCGATATATACCAAGTACAACATGAAGAAAAATGATTATGTTCCTTGTAAGCATGATGCCTTTTTTAATGCAACTTCTGTAATGTTAGCTTTTAATAAGGATTTTGTATGTATCATTACATCATCATTCTGATTTATATGATGTGTTGTTGCAAGATGTGTATAGTTTGTAATAATAGGAATAGCTTTGTTTTATTAGGACTAATTGATCAGTATCAAATTCTATGTTCGCAATAGCTATCATAGGATCATCAAAATTACAATTCAAGCTTCTTATATTTTGCGTAAAAATAGTAAGATCTTATTTATTAATTTTAATGTGTTTACCTAAGTCCTGGATACTGCATTGTATGGAATCAGCAATTTTAGAACGATCTATGTCATTTAGGATTTGCAAAGGAGTAACTATTTAATTTTGTATAAATAGTAAGACTAAAATGATCGACGGGGTCGTATGAAAGTGGATATTTGAGAATAAAACGAGAGATATAAAAACTCCTATACAAACACACAGACTTGTCGAGCCCCAAAATACAAGTCTTCATTTGACATCATTCGTTTTTATGACACTGCTCCCCAGGAAGTTGTCCTTACTACTGATAGTCTAAAAACTGATAGTGCTGCTGGTTGGGACAATATTCCGACTACGTTTCTGAAATGGTGTAAGTTCGAAGTGGTCCACCTTTGACGTCTGTTATGGATAGGTAAATTACATATGATGAGGTTCAGTGCACATTGCAGATCGGATTAGGGACCATTAATGATATTTTATATTTCAAAATTTGATTATTGAAAAGATTTGGAAATAAATATTTGACTATAAAACTTTTTTTTCACATAACTTTTTCAGTGGCCCACGTTGGTATAAAGTTATATTAGTTTTATATAGAAACATATTTTTCAGATATTTCAGTCGATATATCAAATATTAGTATGGTTTTTAAATATTTAGATAAAATAAATCAAATATCATATAAAATAACACAAACAGTTTGTTATTTTTCATATACGCAGTGAGCGGCGTTAAAATGACAATGTGTTTAAAACTTAATTTTAATTGTTGTGATTAAGAAATAGAAATAATGTTTGTTAAGCAAAACGACATAAGCGATCAAAGTAAAATATAGTACTAACGAGGAAAGCAAAGTATTGATTTTTTAAAATCCTAAATTGAAAGAAGAAATTGACGCACTAATTTGTACTTATCATTACAGACTTTAAACAACCATTGATTAAGCAACTTGAAATAAATGACAATGAAAAAGGGTTAAACAACCATATTCAAAATGTGATATTGAGCGTTTCGACGGGGGAAAATTATAAAAGTAACGCAACTAATAATAATACACGTAACATTGAAAGTAAAATCTTGACAACTTTTAGTTTAGATAATGAAGATGAAAGTACGACAACGTTTGATTATTTTGCTCAAGTTTTAAATACAGTATATTCTACGGAGACAATTTCGACGGGCACAATAATAACTTGCAAGGATATAATGCCAGTTGAAGATTTCATTGAAGTTTTTAAAAAAAGACTTCTTAAGGATCAGGTACTCAAAGAATTTTTCCTAACATCTAAAATGTCTGAAAATAAAGAAAACTCTGATGGCGCATATACTGATGCTAGTGTAGCCGATTTTATGGGTCAGATATATAGTAAAAAGGAATCACCTACAACTTTGAAAGCAACGGAGTCTGCCTACCTAAACTCAACGTTACTTGTTGATTTGGTAGAGGCTGTTATTTTTAGAAATAATGGTATGTATATTTCATAAACGTTGACATTTTATTTTTATTAATATTTCGTCATAACATTTAAAATTGCAGATAAAATATCAGCCACAGAAAAAGTAGAACAAAATAGTAAGTTTCAGTCTCATTCGGATGTAAATGCTATTAAAATTAAAGCTGAACTTGGACAGGTTAAAGAAAATTTACATTTTACTGGACATTACTTCTTCCCTGAAGATGATAACGATCAAGATGTTAAAGAAACAACAGAGTTATATTACGATATTTCAAGCATGGCAGTATCTGATATTGAATTAGAAATAGAAAACTTAAAAAGGAATAAAGGTACTAAAGATTTTCTCGAAGAAATTCTTGAATCTGATTACAACACAGAAAATTTGTCTAAAATTGAAGTGCTCTCGCTTAATACTACGCATTATAGTGAAACTGGTAATTTTGATCTTAATTATTCTAACGTTAACTAATAAACGCCTAACAGCCCATGTATTTTAAGTTAATATTTAATATACTATAAAAAACTATGCTTAAACTACAGGGAGTGAATATAATTTATATGGAAATTTAAAAACAAGCCCAACAAAAACGTCTGTGTTACTCAGCCCTTTCTTGAGAAAAAAGCGATGTCACAAAAATGTAATAATAAAAAGAAATAAAGGAATAAGTCATAACGATATTGAAAGTAAAGATTTTAAATTGAGGATCAATGAAACTGCCATTCACTACATTGACTATAAACATTTATTGAAAAAAATCGTAGCAGATTTAAAAATCCTAACATTAAAGGAGCAATTTCATTGCACTGATTTCGCAATTTTAAATTCGTCGTCTTTATGTTCTATTAGTAATTTATTCCTAACATTATTGTTTCTTTTTTGTTTGTTATTAAATTTTAACTAAATAAAAACTGAAAAGTAATTAAAATAGTCTCACTTTACCTTTAAACATTGTTTTCGTTATATTTTGTGTTGTTATTATGTGTTAATGAAAAACAGAAAAAAAGATGAATTATACATAATATTTTTTTATTGCAATAACGTTATGCATAAAATAAGAAAAAACATTAAAATATTATATTGATTCATAATGCTTCCTTTACAAAAACATTTCTGTTGTTGATGCTTTATTATGTTTGTTTCCCGCATGTGTCTTATTTTTTCCAGAATTTTATAGTAAAGCTCGCCATAAGATATATTTTCATTGTTATTTTTCTTACCCTTTTTCACAACATTATTAAAATATTTTAAATGATAAATTTTACTATCTATATTATTGTCTCTTTTCATTCGTTCTCTTACATCATAACACAGACAATCACTGTTACTTTTATCTTTCGTTATATTTTCCTTTTGTGAAGCGCTAGGGAAGGAAGTCATGGATGCATCTAAGTTCGCTATATAGTTATAACTAGATGTTGTTCCTTCTTGAGGATTACGACGTTGTATATTGAGAGATCGACGTTCACAGTAATCATCATCTCCTATTTCTGATGTTGCAATTTGTCCAGAAATATTTTCGTTTGTAAAAGGTAATTTGTTTCTATCCATATGTTCTCTAGTGCACGTGGAAGTACGAGTGCAGCCATCCACATATCCTGGAGGTGTGTGTGAACCTCGATTGACGTCTACATTTTCAGCAATAATGCGACCATTAGAGTCAGTCATTCTAGTAATTGTCCATGTACAAGTAATTTTGCGTGTACAATGTTTCATTCGTATAAAAGGGGTGTCAGGTGTTATTTCTGTGGTTGCGTTTGTGGCTGCGCTTGTGTTTTTTGCGCCTTGCCGTCTGGCATCATAATCCCCGCTCAAATTTATTTTTCTAAGTTGCATAAGTTCATTAAACGATAGATACTTTTCGGTAATTGGGTGTGGTTTATTATAATGTTCATTATTTACCAATTGCACGGTTATAGGTTCAATTCTTTTCGTTAAAGTTTTCTGCTTAGTTTTTTTCACTATCTTATTTGACAAGGTTGTGTACCGAATGGCTTTTAGCTGAAGTCTTTTATTGTCCAAAGTGTCATCCAGTTGCCAAAAAGGCTTAATTTTTGTATATTGTTTATCATTCCGTTTTTGTCTCATGCTGTAATAAGAATTATGAAAGAGAATGTTTATTAAAATAATAAATTTTGAACGATTGTAATTCTAGAGTGCTAATATGCTGCTTGAGAATGTCATAAAGAAATAAAATAAAAAAAGATTTTAAAACATGTAAAGTCCGCTTACACGCACTGGAGCAGAGAGACAGGCTTACTGCTCCATAACATTCTCAAATGCGAGAGGAGGCGCGTGCTCAGCAATGTGATGTGGGTATATAGGGTTAGGACATTACTTTATTTTTTAGAAATGTATTTAACGAAAAAGGTACTAAGGGGCTACTTCTTTATCGGGCTAATAAACCTGTAAAAGTCCAGTGCTGGACACGAACCTATCCCGTTGTAAGGAAGATTTCTCTTCATCGTCGCTATTATTACATTTATTTATATTTAATACTTCACTTATAACTATAATATTTCGGGCGAGCTAATTTTAAGAGCCGTGGTAGCTTAGGGGCTTAGCGCTCGCTGTAATTTTCATAGTAGGCAAGCAACGTACGTTCGATCTCCGCCGGCACCAATGAAATTGTGAATATCAATTTTAAGTGCTACTTTACCACGTGCTTGGCAGTGAAGGAAAACATTGTGAGGAAATCTACATGTCTGAAAAATAAGAAAAAAAATATTTGAAAACATGTGAAGTTCGCCAAAACGCATTGGGGCAGCGCGGCGGATATTTCATTGACCCTCTCAGAAATGAATGGAGACCTGTGCCCAGCAGTGGGACGTATATAAGCTGTAACTTTACTTTAATTTATAATATTTCGTATATATATTTATTCGTATCACCCGTTAATTAAATTTAATATTTTGTTTATATATTTATTATTAAAATAAAACCTGGGGCCAAATTAATAATGTTATTGAATATAGCTTTGGCTAGACGCGGTTCTTTATTTAACCGCTTACAAACTATTTATGATAGCTCTCAACAAGACGGATGGAGGACGGAGAGGAGTTCATTTCTTGCGCTTCTTCAATTGACCGATTACGTAGTGATATCGAAAAGGTATTGACTGATTACAATTTTTATAAAATGCAAGTCTACCAAGGAGCAGAGGTAGAATATCAGTCATGGGTAGCGTTCGAAGAATTGTAATGTCATATAAAACATGTAATGTCTCGCCTTACAAGTCGAATAACATTTGATTATTCGCAATTCGCACAAAACCGCGACCGTCTTTACCACCTATAGAACTCGCGTCGTTCGATGGTGATGTCCGTTCGTGGTCATTATTTTACGAGTTTTAAATCCATTCGCCGGTATTACTTCTTGTGCTGAGAACTACGAACTTATCTTAAACGCAATTATAGAGAAGTACGATGATAAACGTATGCTAGCATCGACTTATATTAATAAAATTTTGGACTTTAAATCAATTTGTAACCGCAGTTAGCGCGTTTGAAAAACTTGTAGCTTTCCTCTTTAACTGATTTTATTATATTACATACCGTTTAAAAAAAAGTTAGATCCCGAAACAGTTCATTCTTTCGAAATGCAATCTCGCAAGAATAAAACTCCTAAATTTAAAAGTTTTACCGATTACGTCAAAAAACAGGCATTAGCCTATATATGTAATATAATATTAATGTTTATAGACTTTGAATTTAAACCTGAAACACCGGCCCACAGCGAAAGTTCCACAAGCTACAATCTTATGTTGCTATGGCCAACACATACAAATCTTTGTGCAAATATATTGTGCATAATCATTTGTACAAGTGTCCCGTATTTTGTAAAATGAGAGCGAACGATCGTTATAATTATGTTAACGAACGACACGCTTGTGTAAATTATTTGAGTGTTAAACGTAAGGCAGGGACTTGGAACTCTAATAATTTTAAATGTAAGATCTGCCAAGGTAAACATCATACTTTACTTCACTTTGACACTTTTGAATCTGCTACCGCTCGCGTTGTGATGAACCCGGCGACTATGTCAACGGAGATATCGCGCGCGATCGGACGGATTTTGGTCGCGTCGCTAGCGCACAATCTCGCTTTTGCGTCATTACGTATAGCACGTAGCAAAAGCGTTTCGTTATGTACAATGTCCATTGCCGCGCCTCTATCAACATGATCTTGCATATCCGAAGATTTATTACCACACAATGTATATACTACAGTCTTCCTTGCCACTGCGGTCCGCCATCGACAGGGCGCATACCACAGCGTACGTTTCTTATTGGATAGTGTTTCGCAGAGCAATTTTATAACGTCGGAATGCTGTGGTAGATTGGGCTTGTCAATAAATGATGACAATATAAAAGTAAAGGCTATTGGAGGGTCAGAAAAATACGCAGAGGGAATGGTGGCATTCCAGGTTGCTTCTCGTTTTAACGCTAACGTAAAATACAATGTTTCGTCTCTCACCGTCGATAGAATAACGGATAATTTGCCGCCGTCTATGCCTGTCAATATTTCCACTATGTCATTCTTACAAGATTTTCCGTTGGCCGATGAGAAATTCTTTGAGCCATCATAGATCGATGTTTTGATCGGTGCTTCTTTGTTATCAACAAAGAAGCACCGATTCCTCTGTACCACCCGCTGTACAAACCACGCCCGGTTACATCATTATGGACACCGTGTCCACTCTTCTCGCTTGCAAAAATGTAACCTTAACGTATTGTAGTACGCTGTCTGTACCTGCAGATCATGACCGGTTGGATACGCTCGTAAAAAAATTGTCAATTAGAGCCTCTTAGAACTGCGCCCACTCAGTCTATGGCTGAGATAGAGTCTGAGCATTTCTCTCGCGAAACCACGGAACGTGACAAAGAAAAGGGCAGATACATAGTCTCGTTACCCTTTCGGGATGACGTATTTTTGATTATGAGGAGATTTGAAGCCGCTCCTGAGTTTGGAGCCGCGTATGACTCAGTTATGCATGAGTATTTAGAGAAAGACTATCTGTCAACCGCGCCACTCGTTAATAGAGACCATCGCTAATCCGTGTAGATCATGGTGGGACCACATCATGGTGTTTTGCGTACAGTTAAAACCACTTTTAAACTTCGAATGGTTCTAGATGCGAGTCATAAATCGAGTTCAGGCAGTTTATTTAACGATATTCTCCATAGTGATCCTAATTTACAATTTTCGTCTTTACGCTACCACGCTTACCGCTGATTTGAAGGAACATCTGTTAACAACATATGTTCCTTCAAATTATAATGAATAGGCACGATCGCCGCTTCAACGCATGTTATATCGTTTTCTTCCACAAGACGAACTTACCACATATGAATTTGATAGGGTTTGCTTTGGACTAAGGTCCAGCCCATACCACGCACTCAGTATCATTCAGCAGTAAAGTAATAATATTAACTGATCATAAAGCCTTCTTGTTTATTAATAATATGAAGTTATTCAATGGTAGAGTAACTCGATGGATTTTGAAGTACAGCATATATCGGGTAGAAGTAATATTGTTACAGATACGCTATAACGGTACCCTCCTGATGGTGATTTAATACAAGAAGATAAAAATAATAACTTAGAAATAGCTTACACAGAGAGTGAACCGAATAATACAAAAATTTAAATCCATATCAGCATGTCAGTCACAAGACTCGGAGTCGTTGGCTATTATTGAAATATGAAAGACATTAAATACTTCCACAATAGAACAAAATAATAAATTGAAACGGTATAGTTTGAAAATGATATGTTATATTATAAAACGAATTTAAAAGAAGTAATTTATTCACCTAAAGCGTTGAGACAAGATATTATAAATCAAGTACTTATCGAAATGGGTCATCAAGTACCAAGAAGAAGGAAATTATTTGTATAATTTGTCAGTGAACAGATTTTAAAATTTGAGGAGTCATCCAGTTGTCTGAAAGAAATTAGCCCACACATGGCATTGCCATACTAAAATTTTGTCTTTTTGTGCAAATTTTACGTCCGCGCTGCGATTTTCAACTCTTTGGATGCATGTCCTGTTTTTAAATCGTCTGGATGATATGATTAGGATAACTATGATTGAAATTTTAAATTGTCCATTAAATGAAAATTCCTGGGTTCAGGCCACACTTCCCGTTAGACTTGGTGGTCTAAGCATCCGAAGAGTTTCCAGCGTCGCACTTCCAGCTTTCTTGTCTTCAGTTCATAGCACGTCAGACTTCATTGGAACAATTATTAACCCACCACTCGGTGATGTAGAGGTCTACTGCTTGGCTAAGGCTAAGGAAGCCTGGAGCAATAAGACAGGACCGGACCAGGTTTTTTCGAGAAACTCGGCTTCGCAGAGGCTTTGGGTTGAGCCGCTCAGTATCCAGGTTCAAAAAAATATTTTAGAAAACTGCGGAAACCCTACAGAGCGAGCTCGTCTCCTAGCATCTGAGGAGAAGGAAGGGCTACTGGTTGATTGCACTGCCCTCGTTAAATATCGGAACACTCTTGGATAGTACTACTTTCTCTCTTGCTATCAGCCTGAGATTAGGTTTAATAACCCAATGAGCTCTATCGCTGCCGCTGTGGTAAAAAGATCGACATTCTCGGATACCACGACCTCGCGTGCCAGCGGAGTGCTGGTCGCATCCCCCGCCATGCAGTCATTAATGACGTCATTCGACGGGCCTTAACCAGTGCCAAAGTACCTGCAATTATAGAGCCAAGCGGTATATTGCAGGACGATGGCAAGAAGCCTGATGAAATGACGCTTATTACATGGAAAAATGGGCGCTCTTTAGTATGGAATGCGAGTTGTGTTGACACATTAGCGCCATCATATCTCGCGGCGACTCCACAGAACTGCTGCTGTTGCCGAGTCTAACAAGCGCCAAATTTATGCAGTCCTCGGAGAGGGATACATGTCTGTGCCGTTTGATGTAGAAACGCTGGGGCCGTGGGGTCCTGAAGCACGGCGTTTGTACAGAGATATCTCATCAATGTCTCTGGTGACCTAAAAGCTGGCAGATATTTTGGTCAGCGGATCAGCCTTGCAATACAGCGAGGCAAATCAGCCAGTCTTTTGGGCACTACAAACAGATGGCGGCGATTTAGCAAGTATTTTTTACTTAAATTAAGCTTTACATACCGTATAATTTTGTATAACGCTTTGTTCCTTTAATTTATTTATTATGTTAATTAGAAGTATTTCTGATTTAATTTCATTTGTTTGTGTTGAATTTTATGTAATATTATTTGCTATGTTTCTAAAATTTTAATTATAAATAATGAGGCAGTTTTATAAATGTTAGTAATAAATATCCAACAGTTGTAAAGAAGAGAGAAGGATATAAGGTAATTAAATATATGAAAATAGATTATTTTGGAAAGGTTAACAAAAGATATTAAGAAACAATTAAGAGTATATGTTTGCTGTTTGCATTTATGTCAGTTATCTAAGAAAAGCAATATAGCATATGTGGGTCTATGCAAATCTATAATAACAGAAAACATTGGCGATATAATCATGGTAGATTTATATAGATCACTTGCATCGGGTACCTTTGGGTAAACTTTCATATTTGTCATACAAGATTCATTCCGTAAATTTATGTAATTATACATTTTAAAACAGTCAACTTGCTGTTGACTGTTTTAAAATGTATGTTGTAAGAAACGTAAAGCATTTTGTTAAGATTATAAAGCCCAAAGCAGCAATGACAGATAAAAACAGTTTATAAGTAATCGCTGGAAAAAATGAATAAGAAATTTAAATATAAAATCAATATATACTATTGTTAGAAATCCTAGGCTAGATACAACAGAGTGAGTAAATAAAGAGTTGAGCAGATTATACTGGACGCTTTGTCATAGTAACCAAAAGATTGGGCGATAATATTGGCAAAAATAGAAGAATTGTATTGTAATTTAAAAAGGAAAAAGACCGGTTTTCGATTCGATTTCAAACGAGTATCAATCAAATAATAAATATCAATTTTTAATTATTTCTCTGTGTTAACTAGGGAGATAAAAAATAGGAACATATCTACAAAATAATATGAAAAAATACAAAGTATCAACATGCCAACAAATAACAGTCACAATAATAATTCAAGTAATCGATCTTAGATCGATATACCTAATAATCATTTCAATTAGTTGTTATTGTTTTAATTTACGTTAATCGTTTCACTATTTTGTTTCTTAAATAACCACAGCTTTTCTTTGGTGATTTTATACTGAACCTGCTTTTATATATTTAAGTAATTATAGTGAAAAATAACATGTTACAGTGTTATTACAGTAAAAATCGCCTGTTACAATGTAGGTAATACATAAAATCACTTTTATTTATTCTACAATAACTCAGCTCCTAGATTGACAAATCTAGCTAGATTTTCAGCTATGAATTGTTTATATGTAAGCTTTCAAATGGTCTCACTTTCATCTTGTTAACATCTGAGCCCAAGAATGTATGGAGACGTCTCCTTCTCCTTTAATAAAAATAAAAATGTAAGTATGTCTAATTTAAATTAAATTTACATAAATGATATTTTTTAAACGAAAATTTAATTTCTGGTAGAAAATGTGGCTTCTGTTATTTTAAGAATTTTCATAGCTATTAATAACGTACATTAATAATGTAGATGATAAAAACTACCGACATAAACTGAAACTTACAAACAATAAGGCAGTGTGATGGACTCTTTCGACTCCAAAAAACTTTTAGAAATGTGGAGATGTCTGTGCAAACTTTAAGAATGAGGAGATGACTATACTGCACTTATAACAGATTGGTGTTATTTAAAAAAAAAACCGTACGGCACGTATTCTCTACATAAAACGTTTTTACGTTAAATATATTTTGGGGAATACATAATATTATAATTGACATTTTTATATGAGTCCGCCTGTGAGTTTATTCGCTTTGCCATCTTCACGTGCATCATCACTTACCATCAGTATAGTGGTCAAGCAATGGCTTGCAATAGTTAAAAAGATATCAGCAGTAATTATGAAGATACATCCAAAAAGAAGAAAAACAACCTACCTGTTTGCTTCGCCGAATTCGGATAAAATAAGAAATTATAGCAACTAAATTACTACAAAGGATAATGTTCAAAGTTACACCTAAATTTTTCAAGAGTTTTGTACGCTATAATTTGTATTTAGATAATAAAGCCTACTACTCAACTTCTATAATAGGATAGCCCGATGATATAACATTTATATTCTAACGATTCGACTTCTACGCTTCACAAAAGTAAAAGTCCCATTCAAATATGTTCACAGGTTTTTGTGTTTTCACAAAATTGTTTTTTTCGGCATACTCATATATATCGATAGTATAGTATACCTCAATTAACAAAACAACAAAATATTCCATGTACAGAAACCGGCTTCTTAAAGTTTTATTTTATTATAATAGTTTACCTGCCTGTGATGTTGAATATGTCCTCTCCTTCTATGAGGTTCGAAACCAAAGTCCACATTGGGTTGTGTATGTGCTGAAGCTGTGCTTGCAAATTTTTTCCTGTTAGTTTCTTTGCGTAAATTTAAGTTCGGCAATAAATCGTAGTAGTTACCGTTTTCTTTACTGTCAAAGCCAGTGGCCGCTAATTGTGTTTTTCGTAAGTTTGAACATATAATATGAGCGTTATTTTCATTGAGACATTGACAGTTAACCTTTTGTAGATAATTTGTAGAACTGGTTGGTGGTGTAGTGGTGGAAGATTCACAAGGGCACATGATCCAGTGTCTAGTAGAGTGCATTTCTGACGTTGAGAAATCATTAACTTTTCCTCTTGTACATTTGACTGATTTATAATTCTTATTTTCACCTTCATTCTGAAATGAAGCTATCTTTCGAGTGCAAGAAGTTTCTTGTTTATATTTTCGATAATTTTGATTAGAGTATGACATTATGGGAGGTGTTAAAGCATCATATCTTTCAGTATTTAGTTCAGTGTTTTCATTCACTAAATTAAAGTTTTTATGTGAATTATATCCGTGGTATATAGGAACAGGTTTACCTCCTCTACGTAAGTAATGTTCAAGGGGTTTTGAAATATTGATTGACTTTTCCCAGAATTTTAGTTGGGGATAACGTTTTACTGCAGCTGAAAATAAGTTACATTCATACTGTACTGGAACACATTAATAAGTATCTTAAACGGTTAAATGAGTAAAGATTAAAAAAAAATATTTTGGGTATGTGAGTGTGGCTAGAAGCCCCATTTACCTACATGCTTACTTTTACAAAAACTTTTACGTCTAACTCGTTTGAATATTTGGATGACTCGAAAACGGATGCTACTGCGATAGCAGTCAATAATTCATCACACGACACATTTTATACGTGGTAGAGCCATGCTGCAGCTATATTAGTAGTATAGTTGTAGCACGAATGGGTCGGCTCGACCAGGGAAAGACCACGCTCTCACAGAATACCATCGTAAAATAGCAGCTTAACACCCCTGTGTTTCGTATGGTGAGTGTAGAGAACCGGAGACCCTTTTTAATGGAAAAGAGGCATTCCGTCTTAGTCCTCACGGGTGACAACGCATCTGCATTTTTATTCTTGATTGAGAATAGATGTAGATGTGTATGGGCCACAGTAACCACTTACCATCAGGTGCCCTGTGTGCTCGTTTGTCACCTTATCCTATATATAAAAAACACATTTTATTATATCATGCTTTCTTTAGACACCATACGTAGACATGCCTTCAGCGATGCTGTATTGACTGTCAGTATATAAAAATACTGTAGTATGCTGAATTAAAATGTCTGAAGTCGAGTCTTTGCTTAACAAAGTCTCGGATTGGGGGCGACTAAATTTAGTCCAGTTCAATCTACAGAAGACACAAGTTTGCGCATTTACCGCTAAAAAGAACTCCTTTGTCGTATCTCCTCAGTTTCAAGGCACTCCCCTTGCTGCCTCAGCTAGCATTATAATCCTCGGCGTCGACATTTCGAATAGTGCGCAGTTTCGTGGTCACTTGGAAGAGAAGGCCAAATTGGTCTCTAAAAAGCTTGGCGTGCTCAGAAGAGCGAGACAGTATTTCATGCCGGCACATCGTTTGCAACTTTACAAAGCGCAAATCCGGCCTCACATGGAATACTGTTCTCATCTCTGGGCCGGGGCACCCCAGTGCCAGCTCCTTCCACTTGACCGCATCCAGTGCAGAGCGGTTCGAATCGTCGACGACCGAGTTCTTTCTGATCGGCTCGATACACTGGCACTGCGTAGGGATGTTGCATCCCTTTGCATTTTCTATCGAATTTACCACGGGATGTACTCTGAGGAATTGTTCGGATTAATTCCAGCCGCCAAATTTCACGAACGCACTTCGCGTCAAAATTCACGATACCATCCTCACCATCTGGATGCTTGGTGGTGCCACGACTGTGCGTTTTCTGCCGACTTCCAAATAGGAGACGGTACTCAATTCGACTGTATGTTTTTTTGTGTGTGTTACCTCATAACTTTTTACTGGGTGTACCGATTTCAATGATTCTTTTTTTATTTGAAAGCTGATACTTCTCGTGTGATCTTCTTACTTTGATCAAGGTCAGACCAATAGTTATTGAGTTATTCTTAATAACTTATATTGAAATTGGCTGTACAAAATTTTTAATTTTAAATTATACTAGGAGTTTTCTTCCTCGTACAACTTCTCTGTGGAATTGTTTACCACCGGCGGTTTTTCCGGACCGATACGACTTAGGGACCTTCAAGAAAAGAGCTTACACCTTTCTAAAAGGCCGGCAACGCATCTGCAATTGCCCTGGTGTTGGTTGCGGTTGTTGCGGTAGTCACTTACCATCAGGTGAGCCGCATGCTCATTTGACCCCTCTTCTATAAATAAAAAAGAAACAAAGATAGTAGTCATGTTTTGTGTGCAGACGAATGAAGCAGATGGAAGTAGATGTGGGTTGTTACGTTATTTTTGCGAAACGTAACGTAACTAGTAACGATGAAGACGTCAGTTGTTTTACGACTAGTGATTTTAGTAACGAGTTATTTTTGAATTCTGTTACAATTATGTAAGTAGGTACAAAGAGTACGAGTAGGTATATGTATCTCTACTTTTATGTAATTATTTCAGTTTCCCCTTAAAATTAAAATAAAAGTCACTACGTCATTAATCACCATAATATCATAACTATATACTACTTAATGCGGTCATTAAATGTATAATGTGATTATTTAATTGTTATTATAATAAAATAAATAATTTTAATAAATAAGTAATACGGAAAATGTTCATTTCATTGTATAATATAATATGATTTAATTATTTGCAGTAAACTATTTTATTTAATATTATTAAAATATTTAGTTTTTTTTTGTCTATTTATTATTATTAAATCGCGTTATAAAATCCACAAGCGCGTAAGAAGTAACATGCGCAATGCGCTCACATTATGTCTTGTTTCTCTCCTTTCATTTAAACACTGCATAGTAATGTTACTATGTACTTAAGAAAGTAAACATTAATAGTTTGTTAGGAAAAATCTTTACAGTTATCACATATATGTATGTGGTAGTGTAGTATACCCTAAGCAAAAATCAATAGTTTTTATTTCGTCTCGAAACTGGTTATTTGGCCACGTGGCCCGTAACCGGTTACTGTAAATAGCAATGTGAAATAACGTCCATACAAAATACAAAGTATTTAAATATAGAACTAAAGTGTAAAATCTATCTTGCCGCTGAAAGGATTAAGACATGTTGTATATCCTCGGAACCATTCATTTCTGCTTTAGGAGACAATTTATAGCTACTGGTCTTAAAAGGATACGTAGTGTATCAAAATCAAAGACGAATGCATCACTCGTTTTCGATTTGCTAATCATATTGTCAGACTGTTGGACTCTACTTTATAACTTTCATAATGTCTCACGTCGGGTTAGTAGTCTTGAACATCAAAAAGGCTATGTCTATTGTTAATGACACACTTTATCAGTTAGTCGGGAACATTACTTGTTGCTGATATATTCGTATATTTTTTATGTGTAATTGTGCATAATTTTAAATCTTAATAAGTTTGTAATTGTAAACTTATTAAGTTTTATTTCTGTCAAGAGGTCAATCAACGAATTCAATTCTACGAGGCAGCCATTTGCAAAATGCTACTAATGTCCAGAACGAAAATGTACAAAACTAGCGTGTGTGTTGCTAACATAGAGAATCGCGACGTGGTCTTTGCCCGCTGGCTGGAATACGGCTATTTAATATTTAGGTGAAGGTCTACATTAAAAGTAAAACAAAAATGTTATAATGAAACTAATTTCATACCATGTGTATTGTTCGAAATCATTGATGAATTTCTGTCTCTTTTAATATTAATGTTATTTGTTCTCTTGATGTGCCAATCAGTAGTATCGGAGAAGTCAATAATTCTTAGCAAGCTACGCACTGGCGAAGATTTCAAAGTGAACTTTATTGCTAGAAAGAAAGATGTTTAGGTTTTAATGATAAGGTTATTTTTTGAGTAATAATAATGGATAAATAAACGACCATATTAACCGTTGTTTTTAAAAGCATAAGTACAAAGTCCCTTATACACAGAATCGGGTAGTAAGTTGTCAGAACATTGTGTTGCAGGGTATCCAATGGCGTAAATAGGTTTCCCATGAATATTACCTTTAGGCGCAAAGTTACATACAAGTCTTGTAATTATTGTGTTTAAAGTTTTTGCCTAGAAAATTGTACGATTTGTTACTTTTACAGATTTTTTTAAATAAAAAATATAAGATAGAAACAATGTTTACATAGAAGCTTGCTTGACCACATCCGACCATTTCCGTGTTTGCCCAAATCAATTGAGTGAAATATTTGCTTTTCTCGTTCGATCTGTGTTGGTATAGAAAATAAAACATGAGAATTTACTGAGAAAATTTTTATGATTCATTTATTACAGCCTATCGAAGTCGATAGCTCGCTCTCATAGATTAGCCCATAGGGATTTGAGATGATTTAAGATATATTTTATCACACGAGACAACAGCAGAGATTTTCCTTGGAGGGCAAGATAGATAAGTTACGTTGAGATATTACAGAATTATCGGGAGACCGGAGTTAGGGGTATGATATGGTTATTTTCGAATCTGGTAGCTTGTTCTAACATCTCTTGTTAACGAAACTACGGGTAAATCCAACGCAAACCATGTACTCAACATTATCAAACGGAATTCGCTAAAGGTCAAATATTTATACCTATTTGTCATAATATATATACCTAATTTGTAAGTCTGAAGAGGAGTAGAACATTTCAAGAATCATACTTATCTTCAAAATTCACGGTGGTCTTTAACGCAGAAGAGGGTAAAAAAAAACCGATGGGAATCAAAGCCAAAACCAAACTGCTAGTAATTGACATAAAAGAGAAGAAAGATCTCTATATGAATCAATTTGGTGGCTTGTTGAACATGAACTTGGAGAGGTCCTGTTTAATTAAGTCTATAGAATAGAATATAATAGAACAATTTTTTTATTCAATATTGATAATAAGTAATTTTTTTTAAGTAAGTGAGATACCTTGTATATTTTCTGGGAGTTAGTTGTAATATCGTATACATTGCCCCAATAATGAATTACTGACTCTGTGGAGTCGAGATACCGGTATCACTAGCTTGTGTTTGTTCCTAGTGTTTACAGAGTGTATATCACTTTTTTTTACTAAATTATCTTTGTTTTTGTGAACATACATTAAATTTTCGTAAATATACTAAGAGGCTAAAGTTAATATATTTATTTCTTTTTATTTTCTCTACGAGACTCTCTCGGTTTAAGGTTGTATAGACGCATCTATACGATGTGTAACAAAAACCATATAGTTCCATTTAAGTGCGTTATCAGAGTCGGTATTGAAACGTAAAGAAATAATTTTTTTTTCAAAAAAACTTGAACATTAAAAAATTATTTTTTAATAATAAAAAATTATTTGCAAATTGTATGTGGTTTATTACCACTAATTGACACGAGCATCCGTAAAGGGAACAATCCTCTTATTCCCCGGATAATGCAGAGGTAATAAAACCACATACAATTCGCGAATTTTTTTAAATTAAGTAATATTAAAAAGTTCAAGTTTTTTTGGAAAAAAAAAGTTATTTCTTTACGTTTGAATACTGACTCTGATAACGCACATAAAGGGAACCACAGGGTTTTTGTTACATGTTGTATATGTGTTGTCACCACCGAGGAACAAGATAGCTCACAGCCTATAATCTACACTCACCGTACGAAACAGCAGCATTAAGCTGCTAATTTACACTACGCATACTGCTTTGGCTTGGTGGCAGAAATAAGTAAGAGGGTGGTACCTAGCCAGACAGTCTCCTAGCCACAAAAGGAGTTTTACTAACTAATGAAGTGAATTGTTTAGGCATCAGTATCGTTTCGATTACACAAAGCAATCATTTTTTTCAAAATATTAAATACAACATTAGTAGTAGAGCCATGCTGCAGCTATATTAGTAGTATCTATAGTTGTAGCACGAATGGGCCGGCTCGACCGGGGAATGACCACGCTCTTACAGAATATCAGCGTAAAATAGCAGCTTAACACTGCTGCGTTTCGTATGGTGAGTGTAGAGAACCGGGGACCTTTTTTACTGGAAAAGAGGCATTCCGTCATAGTCCTCACGGGTGACGACGCATCTGCATTTTGATTCTTTATTGAGGATAGATGTATATGTCTATGGATTACAGGAACCACTTAGCATCAGGTGGACTGTGTGCTCGTTAGTCACCCTATCCTATAAAAAAGTTACGATCATAGATGTTACGATTAATTAATTAATAAATACTTTTTATGTCTTTTACATACTGATTGTAATAGGACACACTTCCGAAATAATATAACGACTGCATAAACCACGTATCTACAAAGTTCTTTATATTGAATTCTGATGATAAATCTGACATCGTAGCTATATTTTGTCCGACTTCTGTTGTTTCTGAAATAAAATTTTAAGTAAATTAGTGCGGGTAACTTTATAGTTTTAAAGTAAGGTAATTATATAAAAAGTATATTTTTTACATTATGAGGGTGACAAACTAAGTGTGCACCTGATGCTAAGAGGATGTAGCAACTATCATAGCTGCAGCGAAGCTCGTAAAGTTTTTAGATAATTTCAATTAACATAGATATTCGCTGATCATATTATTTCTATAGCATGAAATAGGTAAGTGATATTTTTCCGAGAGAATATTGTAGGCTACTTTGAAGGCAATATTTAAAAAAAAGTGTTGTAAATTATTTTATGAATTATATAAAGAAACCTACAATTATTTTAAAAGACCAAATCGAAAGTCACTATACTGTATATTTTTTATTTTGTTTCGAAAATTGAAGTTAAAAATGAAAAGTGTGTAGTTTTATTTTCGGTTACTAATCTACAAATTACTTAATATATAACACTATATAACACTACATTAGGAATCTAATTCCTAATGTAGTGTTATTTTAAGTTTATTTGCTAAGGTATAGATAAATTAATTAATATAAATTGATCTGCTTAAGACTGTCAGTATCAATATTCTCACAATCCTAATATAATAAATAAAAAGATGCCCTTATTTGAAATTTTACTGATCATCATCATCATCATCATCACAGCATCACAAGTCCACTGCTGAATATAGGCCTCCCCCAAGGAATGCCACAAAGCACGGTCCTGAGCCACCTGCATCCATCGACTTCCTGCATGTCTTACCAGGTCGTCACTCTATCTAGTGGGGGGACGCCCTACACTTCGTCCGCCGGTATGAGGCCGCCACTGGAGAACCTTTTTTCCTCATCGGTTGTCGGTTCTTCGAGCTATATAGCCGGCCCATTGCCACTTTAGCTTACTAATCCCTTGGGCTATGTCGGTCACTCTGGTTCTACTGCGGATATCCTCATTTCTAAGTTTATCACGCAAAGAAACTCCGAGCATAGCCCTCTCCATAGTTCGCTGAGTGACCTTGAGCTTTCTCATCCGGCCAGCAGAAAAGGACCACGTCTCAGTTCCATAGGTTATCACTGGCAACACACACTGGTTGTACAGTCTCGTTTTCAAGTTTTGAGGTGTACCTGACGAGAAGATGTGCTTAGGTCTTCCAGCGATTCTGCCATAAGAACTACATCGTCGGCAAATCGAAGGTGAGTGATGTACTCGCCATTGATGTTAATACCGTATCCTTTCCAGTCCAGAAGCTTGAAAACGTCTTTCAATTCAGCGATGAAGATTTTCACCCTGTCTTACACCTCTCTGCAATAGGATAGGTTTCGTACTCTAGTTCTGTACTCGGATAGCCATCGTAGCCCAACTGTACAAGCACTTCAGCACTTCGATATACCGTCAGTCAACTTGGCACCGCCGAAGGGACTGCAGCACCGCCCAAATTTCGACGGAATCAAAGGCTTTCTCATAGTCGACATACGCCAGACATAGTGGCAAATTGTACTCCTCGGACTATGGTTGCTGTGGTCTATGGTGCTAAAGCCCTTTCGGAAACCGGCTTGTTCGGGAAGCTGGAAGTCGTCAAGTCTGCACGCGAGACGATTCGAAATGACTCTTGAAAACAGCACGTAGACGTAGCTCAGAAGAGAAATCGTTCTGTATTTCTTTAAGAGAGCGTTGTCACCTTTCTTGAAGAACAAGACCATAGCACTTCTGCTCCAGGCCTCTGGTGTAATGCCAACATGGAAGACGGAATTAAAGAGCCTCAGAAGGACTTCAAGTACCGGTTTTCCACTCGCTTTCAGAAGCTCCGCTTTACTTCCATCCTCGCCTGGGGCCTTGCCGTTTTTAAGGTGCTGGAGAGCCATTCTAATCTCGCTCAGACTGACGTCCGGGATATCATCGAGAACCTCTCAATCTCACTCAAAATCTCAGGTGTCCCGGAAACGACGCTGCCACACTCGGTCTTCCGTTTCGACAGTTGGCTTTTTCCGGCAGACAGATCTCTAGCAAAGAATTTGGAGCACTGGTTCCGCTCGATCGCTTCTTCAATACGAGTCGTATTAAAGTTGCGTAAGTCCCGCCGCATGCATTTGGAGATCTGTCTGTTCAGTTGCCTGTATGCTGTCAAATCTACTGAAGACTGCTGCTTCATATCCCGTCTAACAGCCATGAGATTAAGAGTTAAGAGTGTGATCGGAGAGTTGTTGTGTTTTTCTGCGGCGGGTCTTGCTAAGCTTAGCTCCGACCGCATGGACAGTTTCCACGAGCTTGTCATTCATATCATCTACTGCATTGCAATCTTCTAGGCACTGAAAACGGTTTTGTAGCTCGAGCTGAAAGGTTTCGAGACGAGGGGGACGGAGCGTTGACTTCATTAGACGTGACCTCTCCAACTTAACGTTTAAGTTCAGTGTGCCTCTCACCATTCGGTGATCGCTGCCGGTCTTCACCCTCGCAATCACTGAGAAATCACTGAACAGTTGTCGTCTGGTCGTCATAATCAAGTCAATCTTATTTTTTGTCGAACCGTCGGGGTCCAAGTCCACTTTCTGTGGGGCTGCTTCTGGAAGAAAGAGTTCATCATAGAGTCCCCCTTTCTCCATGAAGTCGGCCAGCTGCTGGCCCCTCGGGTTCCGTTGCCCTATTCCGAATTTCCCTTCTTTCAGCTAACCGTTCTCTCTTGTGCCTAGTTTGGCGTTGAGGTCTTCCATTAACACCGTATAGTGGGTTTTGGAGGAATGCATGGCTCTAGAGATATCCTCATACGTTTCCTCCACCTCCTCATCGGGGTGTGCCGAGGTTGGTGCGTAAACTGGTATGACCTTCAGCGAATACCGTTTGGTGATTTTGAGTATAAGGTACGCGACCCTCGTCGACACACTCTCAATCTTTACAACGTTGTTAATGAGAGACTTGTGGACGATAAATCCGACACCTCCTTGGGACAGATGGTCGCCCTCCCGGTGATAGAAGCCGGATTCGAGGATTACCGTGTCCTCCCCCTCTCTTCGGACCTCAAGTGTCTCACGAAGTCAAGTGGACGTGTGATAAGCCCCCGTTTTTCGATTCGATTCATTGTTCGATTTTTGCTGCGAGAGTGATAAAAGCTTCACATTTTCTCTATCTTGTAATGAAAGATGTTTAATTGGCATACCCCGTGAATGCCTAAGGTATTTTCTGGCAACTAAATATTATAAATAAAATTGTCATCTTTTCAAATGCGTTCAATACGTATATTTTCATTCGCCCAAATCCCAAGGAGACATATTTTCCGTTCGGTCACATATATTTGGCCCTGTACCTGCTAGTAAAGTCACTTTTTTGTTAATGGTTATGATGCTAGATTTTTTATCATATTTCAATATTTTTATATTATTTGCCTCAATTGAATTCATTAGACATTTTTTGGATTCTGTAATAGAACACTTCACCTCTACTAGCATGTCATAACCAATTGGATGTAGCGTAGTATACAGGCGTAGCTCCAATAAAAGGATTGGTTTTATCAATGAACAATACACAAGACTCTATACTAAGGTTCTTTTGCTGCTGTATCTGCTGCAGGGCCTGCTCAATACCAAAGGCAGCTGCCACCACATGAGAAAGTTTTCATCTATAAATTCAAATTGTTTTTTCTATTTGGTGGAGAATATGGTAGGTGGTACATCAATTGAAACCAAACATTTTGCATGGCATCGCCTGCAACATCAGATCGATGGGCAGGGGCATTATCATGATGGAAAAGCACTCCAGCACACAATTTTCCTCGAGGTTTATTCTTTAGTTCTTCATATAGTTTTTTGATTAATGATGCTTAATAATCTTCGGAAATAACCGGAGATCATTATTAGAGAGATTATTATCTATCTTTTACTTAAATAATCGATAATTATTATACCGTCCCCATCCCAGAAGACAGAGGCCATCACAATTCAAGCGTAGGCTGTAAGATTGCTGACTTGCATCTGGAAGACGGCCTTCGTTTGCTTGTTTGTTAACGGTTCTTTGAGCTTAGTTTTTCTAAAGTAAGAATTAGGATAGTCTTAATTGAGATCTCACTTGTTTAGGATATGTAAATTAAAATACATCATGTTTTATTTAATTTATCGAACATTAGTAGTATGTATTAAATAAAAAGTATTTTAAAAACGTCCTTTGATAATTTCGAAACTTGATTAGCTGTAGCATGGTTCTACCACGTATGTACGGAAACTTATGTCAAACAGTACTTTTTGCTGATAAATACCTCTTCAAAGTTTAAAATTGGTAGAGGTAAATCATATGACGTTGTAAATTATGCTGTAACTCACTCATAGTTACACTTGTTTTCATAAATTACTTGATTTTGCATAGCAGAAAAACAAAATGACTTAACTTTTCTTTTGAAAATATAAAGCGGACTAATACTTATATTAAGTTGAATTTATCATTCAAAAATCATGTGACGTTGTAAATTATGCTTTTTTTTTTATAGGAGAGGGGGCAAACGAGCATGCGGCTCACCTGATGGTAAGTGACTACCGCCGCCCATGAACAACTGCAACACCAGGGAGGGAATTGCAGATGCGTTGCCGGCCTTTTAAAAAGGAGTACGCTCTTTTCTTGAAGGTCCCAAAGTCGTATCGGTCCGGAAAAATCGCTGATGGTAATCGATTCCACAAGGAAGTCGTGCGAGGAAGAAAACATCTTCTAAATCGCACAGTGGTGGACCGCCAATCATCCAGATGGTGTAGATGGTATCGGGAGTTCTGCCGCGATGTGCGTTCGTGAAATTTGGCGGCTGGGATTAATCCGAACAATTCCTCAGAGCACTCCCCATGGTAGATGCGAAAGAAAATGCAAAGGGATGCAACATCTCTTCGCAGTGCCAATGAATCGAGCCGATCGGAAAGGGCTCGGTCGTCGACGATTCGAGCCGCTCTGCGCTGGATGCGGTCAAGTGGAAGGAGCTGGCACTGGGGAGCCCCAGCCCAGAGATGGGAACAGTATTCCATGTGAGGCCGAACCTGCGCCTTGTAAAGTTGCAGGCGGTGTGCCGGCATGAAATACTGTCCCGCTCTGCTGAGTACACCAAGCTTTTTAGAGGCCAATTTGGCCTTGTCTTCCAAGTGACCACGAAACTGCACGTCACTCGATATGTCGACTCCGAGGATACCGATACTGGCTGAGGCAAGAAGGGGAGTGCCTTGAAACTGAGGAGATACGACAAAGGGGTTCTTTTTAGCGGTAAACGCGCAAACTTGTGTCTTCTGAGGATTAAACTGGACTAGATTTAGTCGCCCCCAATCCGAGACTTTGTTCAGCAAAGACTCGACTTCAGACACAAGTTTGTTCCGGTACTCGGCGACGTTTTCCCGAGAAATATTGGCACGGCCGGTGTATAGAGCATCACCAGTGCTGTCATCCGCATAGCAATGAATGTTACCAGTTAGCAACATATCATTGATATGCAGAAGAAACAGCGTTGGTGATAGCACACAGCCTTGTGGAACACCAGCGTCAATAGGCTTGTAGTCAGAACATGCACCGTCTACAACGACCTTGATGCTCTGATCTGCAAGGAAGCTGGTGATCCAATTGAAATCTCGGGAAGCCCATAGAAAGGGAGCTTCGAAAGAAGCGCTTTGTGCCAAACCCGATCGAAGGCCTTCGCAATGTCCAGACTAACGGCCAACGCCTCCCCCTTGGACTCGACCCAGACGAAAACCGTATTGGCGGTCACTAATCAGCTGTTGATCCTCAAGGTACCGCATGAGCTGGCAGTTAATAATTGATTCCATTACTTTGGAGAACAAGGAGGTGATCGCCATAGGCCTATAGTTGGACGGGTCTGAGCGGTCGCCTTTTTTAGGGATCGGATGGACAAAAGCTGTCTTCCATGAATTCGGGACTTCGCCTTGGAAGTAGGAGTACCGGAAAAGACGCGTTAAGACCGGTGCCAACTCCGGAGCACACGTCCTCAGCACAATTGGGGGGATTCCGTCAGGCCCACTTGACTTCTGGATGTCCAGGGAGAGAAGTGCATTGCGAACCAAGCTCTGTGAGAACAGCACATCCGGCATGGAGCACTCACACCGCGGGATGGTCGGCGGTGTTTTCCCCTCGTCATCAAGAGTCGAGTTGGACGCAAAAAGGGAGCCTAAAAGGTCAGCTTTGTCTTTTGCGTCTTGGGCCAGTGAGTCGTCCTCCCTGTGCAGAGATGGTAGTGATGGCTTACAGAAATTCCCTTGGACAGCCTTGGCGAGAGACCAGAATGCACGGGTTCCCGAAGGAAGGCGAACTAGCTTCTCGCCAATTCTGCCGATGTGCTCAGACCTTGCCTTGGCAATAACTTTTTTGAAGGACCTTGAGGCGAAGTTATACTTCTTTTTAAGTGAGCTGGTGTTTACATCCCGAGTCGCCGAAGCCGCAGCTCAGGCTTGATAACACTCCTGCTTACTGTGTAATGCAGTCTTACAGGAGCGACCAAACCAAGGCTGAGATCTGCCTCCGATGGGTACCACAGATGATGGAATAAATAGTTCCATTCCCTGTAGCACCACATCAGTGACAGAGTCAGCAACAGCGCTAGGATCATCCGGCGAGAAGCAAACCCGCCCCCATGGGTAGGATGCAAAGAAAGACCGCATTCGATCCCAATCCGCCGACCTGTAATGCCAAACACGGCGGCAACCTGCAGAACGCAACCGCGGAGGGAGCGTGAGTGACACCACACTCCGGATCAGACAATGGTCCGAAGAGCCGAGAGGGGCATCGACGGAAACCTGATATCCGTCCGGATGAGAGGTCAGCAGAAGGTCCAACAGGGAAGGTGTATGATCCTCCACATTTGGAATCCGCGTAGGCGAAGTAACCAGTTGTGTCAGACCATATGCCAAGGCAAAGTCATAAACAGATCTCCCCGCATGATCGGTTAAACGTGAACCGAGCCATTCGGCATGGTGGGCGTTAAAATCGCCAAGGATCACGATCTCTGCGGATGGGACCTGTTGTAGCAAGGAATCTGTAGCCATTTGGACGTGGTCGATAAGTCGGTCTGTTTCGGCATTTCCGCTATGGGACCTATAGAGGCACCCGTAGACGCGCGGATGGTCGTCGCTGTCTACGCGTAGCCAAAGGATGGACAGGTCCGAACCTTCAAGACTGCCGAGGCGTCGAGAACAGATGTCCTCTGTGACATACACGCAAACTCCAGCCCGAGGCACAAAGGAGTGCTCCAGTTTGTACCCCGGGTAGGAGAGATACGAAATATCAGCCGGAGAGGAAACCTGCGTCTCGGTCAGAAAGAGCAAGGCCGGCTTCGCCGTCTCGAGATGGTAGTGGACGGCGTTTAGGTTAGAGTGAAGTCCCCTGATGTTGCAGAAATTCACGGATAGCGTGGCAGGGGTCGCCTTGGTATTGTTGCTCAGTTTGCCCCGAGCAGTTATGTTTTTAAGCGGAATTTTGCCCCCCCCCCCCCCCCCCCCAGAATACGCGGGGCAGCCTGAGCACCCACGCTCAGGATTGGAATAACATGGTCGTGGATGCTCAGCGAGGGTTTCTCCAGGGGTGCTGGTACCCTCCTGGGGTAGTCTTGCGTGTAATTCGGCTACCATGTTGAGGGGGGGGGGAATTGGGCCTCCAGCCACCTGCACTCACCAGACGAAACGCAGAAGCAGAGCCTCTACTTCACGCCGGTATTCTGTGAGGTCGTGGTACCAACCCGGCTCGAGCCGGCCCATACGTGCAACAGCACAAACTGCTGCGTGGCTCTACCACCGTTAAACTCACTCATCATTACACTTGTTTACATAAATTTCTTGTTTTTGCCTAGCAGAAAAACAAAATGATTTAAATTTTCTTTTGAAAATATAAAACGGACTAATACTTATATTAAGTTGAATTTATCATTCAAAAATCATGTGACGTTATAAATTATGCTGTAACTCACTCATCATTACACTTGTTAACATAAATTACTTGTTTTTGCATAGCATATTAATACCCTTGAAAAAATTAGTGAAGTCAATAACTAACACGCGTAATAATTCTAAAATTGCTGTACCGACGTACAGGCTTCAGAAAACGGTTGGATAATTTAGGGTAAATGTAAATCTATTAATAACAAGATTTCCTGTAATATTACCGATTAACCTTTTTTTATGAAATAAGCGTGACAAAGGAGCACACAGTCCATCTGTTAGTAAGTGGATGCTACATCCTATAGATATCTACTCGTACATGTAACCACAATTAACATTCAAAATGCAGATGTGTTACCACTCATGAGGACTTAGATGGAATGCTTCGTTTCCAGTAAAAAGGGTTTCTGGTTCTCTATACTCAACATACATTTAAGCATACAACAGCATTAAAGTGCTATTTTACGATGGAATTCTGTGGGAGCGTAGTCTTTCCTCAGTTGAGCCGTACCATTCGTGCTACAACTATAAGATAGCTGCAGCATGGCTCTACCACAGAAATCATACGTATTTATAAAGCATTCTTATGAAGAATGGATTATTTAAAAGGTGAGATGAGAGTGCGTGGACACAATAAGCATCTTAAGATTTTCTTGACTAGGGTTTTGGTAGTAGGTGGAGTAGATAGGGTAAGGTAGGTATAATAAGGCTAATTTGTAGTTGTTAAGAGATAAACAGTTTACTTGTATATTTCTTGCCGCTTTTCCCCCACAGTAGGGAATCGTGGAATCAATGTGTAGCTTTCATGACTTGTAAAAATAATTTTTCTTCGACTTTCATTAGACGAAGAAAAAACATTTGAAATGCCGGCAACGCATCTGCAATTCCCCTGGTGTTGCAGTTGTTCATGGGCGGCAGTAGTCACTAACCATTAGGTGAGCCGCATACTCGTTTGCCCCCTCTCCTATAAAAAAGTCTAAATCATAAATCTAAAACATGTGAAGTTTTAGATTAATGAAAGTTGAAGAAAATTTTGTTGAAGTTCGCCGCACTGCCTTAACTCTCATTAGAGCAGTGCGGCAAACTTTCTTCAAAAACCTTAACAGAAATGAGAACAAAACAGAGACAGACAGAACAGATGAACTGCAGCAATGTTGTTCGTTGAATTTTGTTACTATTTCTCAGTTCACGAATTCACGATCATGTCGATCATTTTTCTACCAACTTCAAAAAAGAGATGGTACTCAATTCGACTGTATGTTCTTTTTATGACTTAGGAGTGTTATGTTTTCTTACATATATAATGTTTTCATATTATATACAAGGAGGTACACAATAATGTACTGCGACTAAGCGAAATGACTGACTTATTCTCTTAGGCCGCTATCACACGGCACATTTTAACCTTTTCACTTACCAAGATTACGACAATCATCCTCTTTGTCTGGACGTGTAGATGGATCACATTGATCTACCCACCGCTGAGCGAAATGTGCTAGTTCCTCGGACCAAACCTTCAAATACATTTTATCGAATTGAGTATTAAAATAATATTTAAATATATAATTAAACAATTATTTATCCAACAAGTTTAGTCAGTGACCCAAAGGGGAGAAGTTTATAAAATAAACTTTTTATAAAAAGTAAAAGCTGACTTCAAATAAAAGTTAAAAGAATAAAATAATTTCACATTCTGAATCCGGTGCTAAGACATAGTGTATAGGGAAAAGAATTAAACCACTCTGTAGTGGCGATGTAAGAGAATCTACTACCATATTTAATCATCACAGGGATGTCGTAAGAGGCGATGGAGCTTTACGGAGATTGCCTCATAATGGGCATTTTTGTAATGATTTCTACGCTTGGCAGACTGGACATGTGCTTATAACATTGCTGTATGCATTTATTAACATAACCATAATAGTACTATGCATTTATTATGTTTTAACATTTAAGTATAAGCAGAGCATTTAAAAAAACCTTACCAGCTTTTTCATATTTGCCGCTCCCGGTAGATACTTTGATAGACCTAAGGCTATAAAATTTCTTCTCTCATTCATTTTATCTAGAATTGATTTAATGTTTCCCGGTGTTAACAATTTCTTTTTATCATATCTGATGCAAGAAATACTTGGCCCTTCTGTCTAGAAAGTGAAGAATAAGTACTTCATTAATTTATATAATGATTTCTTATATTTACGCGAACACTACACACTTAAATAATACTAATTTTACGGATTTTATCGCGTATATTAACTTATTTTATATTCCCGACGTTTCGGGTGCTTTCCAGCACCCGTGGTCATGGGGAACTGAGGTGTTTGACGTCCCTAATTTATATAATATTCAAAATTGTCATTACGTTAATTAATAAATTCTTACCGGATATTTGCAGAGAATATGGTAGGGACATACTTTACAGTATTCTTGTAAGGAAGCATACAAAATATTTGCATAAAATAAAATTACAAGCAATTTGCCTCTTGTCATATTGAAACAGATGTAAATACAATTTTGACGCATGTATGTAGATGGGTGATGGAATTATCATGGCCGTAGAGACTTGTTGTAACGTTGTACACATATCTAGGTTATGTCAGCTATAATGGATTATTTTATTTGCAAAGGTTATGTTTTTTATGTTTTATGTTATATTTATAATCAATATATGTTTTTTGGATAGTAGAAATTTAGTTTTGGGATACACAGAGAACTCACCTTGGATTTACAAAGTTGATGAAACAATCGTTACAACCGAAAAGCAAAATGGTAATAAATATAATTTAGGTGACTTAATGCACTGTATAAAAAAAACATACGTATATTGCCTTGTATCAATATTCATTATTATTATAAAACTGTCATTATACATTATAAAACTATGTTTCAGGTTCTATTAACGAAAACATTGAAAATAAAAAGGGTTTACAGCAAACATATTTGAAAGTTATAGAAAAAGGAAATAACAGCTCTAATTTACAATCAAATGTATTTGATAAAATGTTGTCAAATGAAATGTTATCAATACAACAATATTTATATAAAAAAGAACAGCAAACTTCACCAATACATATTACTACTGGACACAACGCTCCGACTCCAACACTTGAAGTAAAACAAAGATGGGCAGTTATTAATCTATTATCTAATACGCTGAGTGAGCAACTCCATGTTACATCCCATGCAAAATTTAATGAAAGTAGTACAAACGAATCTGCTCATGATATGCATTCTCTTCCTTGTAAAGATAAAGTTGTCGGTCTCAGGAGTTTATTTGATATTACACCACAATCAGAGAGATCGATAAGTTTGCAAAACATGAAATTATGTACATGTATGAAAACAAATCCACATACAACATGTACTCATCGATGTAGAGGATTTAGCACGCAATTACCAAATTTACAAACGTTGAAAAATAATAGGGATATTTTTTGCTCTAGAACCAAAAAAAGGACTCCTGTACCAGATTCTGATTCTCCGTTTCATACTTCATACCAATTATATTTAACTGATAGTTTTACAAATGTTCCTTTTACATTTTACTATCCATTAGAAATAAATGAACTTACTACAAAAAAATCCAAACATGTTAAAAAGAAAAAGCCACACAAGGATGATATATATTATGATAATGATTTTAATACGGATACCATCAAAGAAGATTATTTTTATGATGATTATTTAGAAAATGATGACTACGGAAAAAATATTAATAAATTATCACACAAAGTCAAGCCATCTAAAGATCAAAATGTTGTTATTAATTTAGAGTATGAAGAAAATGAAAGGTCAAAGGATGAAGACAATTTGGACGATATATTGGATAAAGGACTAATTCAAACCCCAAATAAAAATGAATTTGTTGAAGAAATAATAAATGACTTAAAGAAACATTATAGTGATGTTATAGTAAAGGACTGTTATTGTTCTTCTTCAATGATTAATGTTGTTAGTTCTGTACAGTGTTTTATATGTTACATTTGTGTTAGTCTCTACTTTAAGATGTGTATTTAATGACATGTCAAAACAAAATTTTATAAACGAATATTAAACAAACTCGAATAAAATACAAATTTGTGGAAACGGTTTTAAATTAAAACGAATCTATTGTTTTTTAATTATAAACTTTATAATCAGTTACCTATTAAAATTTAAAATCTATTGTGACAAAAAATTTAAAAAAATGTAATAAAATAAGTAAAATAACAGCTTAAATACATTGTCACAGTGTAAGAGACTTGTGACCTATCCTTCTATCGTGATTTAGTTATTGCCTAGGTTCGAATCAGGTCTTCATTGTGCGATTAAAACTACATGAAAGACAAGGTATATATCCTTACATTTTATAGCAAAGATCTGTTACCAACACTCTCTTTGTAGAGACCTCTAGTCCCTGAAGAGCCTCCAACCACTCCTTACAGCTCTCCCAAATCTCCACAATCAGGTAACATTCAACAATATGAAATGCAGTATGATATTAAAAAAAAAACATAACGTTTACCAATATCTCCTTGTTAAGACGCAACAGCAACTCTTGTAAGAGAGTAGTATCTTCTCCGAACAGACTATTAATACGTCACTAACATTTAAATCACTTCCCAACATTCATTCTGGCCATCTTTAGTTCGCGTTCGCGACATCAGCCGTGGGACGTTTCTGAGAGGGATTAATTATTATATATATTAATTATGAAAGAAGGTAGTATTATCTAACATGTCGTATGAATGTAGTATTATCAACAACGCCATGAATAAGGATGCACAAATTCAGTTAGTAAGTGGTAAAATATCAACAAGTACTTCCTAATAAATATTGTGGTGGAGATTTTATCGTAATGAATTTGTATCATATAAAATTAAAATTCAATTAAAATTTAATCATTGGTATTAAGAAGCAACATACAGGCGGCTGAACTGAGTAAATGGCTCAAATATGAGCAAATCTGAGGTAGATGAGATAGACAACTCTCAGACCATGAGACCGTGTGGCGGAGTTTCTAAAGGAACTGCATCCGCGACTGGTTGATGCCATTGGTGACAAGAGAGGTTGTTTCTTAAACAAAGTTAGCTTTTGTGTATGAAACAATATTTCTTGTGATATACACAATGTTAATCTAAGTTAAAAAAGTTTACGACTTTAAGAAAAATAATTCTAATTTGCTTTGTTGGTGTCCAACCTCCATAGTGACGACAAAAGACTGGTTGACGCAACTTTCATAATTTGGCAGGGAACTAAAAACAAGAAGGTAACTGACGGACAAGGAAAAAGTAGTGGAAACACTGACCTCTTTGAATACAAGTACGCTGGACGATGCTGGACTGACCATGACATACGTAGGTCACTCAATAAATTTTGAGATGCTCGAAATTTAAAATGGAACGCACCCGTGTTATGTTTCTAAAAAGCAAATTTGTTTAAAAATAGAACTCCATAAGCCAACTGCTCTATATTAATAAAAAACAAAGTTCTATTAATTTTCCTGCAACGCTTCCCGGACTTTTCATGTAAAACGATGAAACTTTACCATGAACTTAGATTATATAAAATGTCCAGATTCCTAGTAGGCCACTCTGACTTGTGGCAGCATCGTTTCCGGGACACCTGAGATTTTGAGTGAGATTGAGAGGTTCTATGGGCAGCTGTACACGTCATCGTTGGAGCCACACGGAAGTGTGAGTAACGATCCAAGAGCGAGTCTCATCCGACACTATTCCGAAGATATCCCGGACGTCAGTCTGAGCGAGATTAGAATGGCTCTCCAGCACCTTAAAAACGGTAAGGCCCCAGGCGAGGATGGAATTACAACGGAGCTTCTGAAAGCGGGTGGAAGACCGGTACTCGAAGTCCTTCAGAAGCTCTTTAATTCCGCCCTCCATGGTGGCATTACACGGGAGGCGTGGAGCAAAAGTGCGGTGGTCATGTTCTTCAAGAAAGGTGACAACGCTCTCTTGAAGAACTACAGACCGATTTCCCTTCTGAGCCGCGTTTACGTGCTGTTTTCGAGAGTCATTACGAATCGTCTCGCGCGCAGACTTGACGACTTCCAGCCTCCCGAAAAAGCCGGTTTCCGAAAGGGCTTTAGCACCATAGACCACATACATACCCTTCGGCAAGTTGTACAGAAGTCCGAAGAGTACAATTTGCCACTATGTCTGGCGTATATGGACTATGAGAAAGCCTTTGATTCCGTCGAAATTTGGGCGGTGCTGCAGTCCCTTCAGCGGTGCCAAGTTGACTGTCGATATATCGAAGTGTTGAAGTGCTTGTACAGTAGGGCTACGATGGCTATCCGAGTACAGAACCAGAGTACGAAACCTATCCACTTGCAGAGAGGTGTAAGACAGGGTGACGTCATATCCCCGAAACTCTTCACCGCTGCATTGGAAGACGTTTTCAAGCTTCTGGACTGGAAAGGATACGGTATCAACATCAATGGCGGGTACATCACTCACCTTCGATTTGTCGACGATATAGTCCTTATGGCAGAATCGCTGGAGGGCCTAAGCACTATGCTCAATGACCTCAATAGTGTTTCCCAACGGATAGGTCTTAGGATGAATATGGACAAAACAAAGATCATGTTTAATGTCCATGTCACACCTATGCCGGTAGTTGTTGGAAGCACTAAGGTCGAAGTTGTTGACGAGTATGTTTACCTGGGACAAATAGTCCGACTAGGTAAGTCCAACTTCGACCGAGAGGTCAATCGACAGATTCAACTCGGCTGGGCAGCGTTCGGGACGCTACGACACATCTTCTCGTCAGACATACCTCAAAACCTTAAAACGAAATTGTACAACCAGTACGTGTTGCCAGTGATGACTTACGGAACTGAGACGTGGTCCTTCACTGCTGGCCGTATGAGGAAGCTCAAGGTCGCTCAGCGAGCTATGGAGAGGGCTATGCTCGGAGTTTCTCTGCGTGATAAACTTAGGAATGAGGATATCCGCAGTAGAACCAGAATAACCGACATAGCCCAACGGATTAGTAAGCTGAAGTGGCAGTGGGCCGGCCATACAGCTCGAAGAACCGACAACCGATGGGGAAGAAAGGTTCTCGAGTGGCAGCCTCGTACCGGTAGGCGAAGTGTAGGGCCTCCCCCCACGAGATGGAGTGACGACCTGGTAAGACATGCAGGAAGTCGATGGATGCAGGTGGCTCAGGACCGTGCTTTGTGGCATTCCTTGGGGGAGGCCTATGTTCAGCAGTGGACTTGTGAAGGGCTGTAATGATGATGAAAAATGATGACTCTGACTTGAAGCCAAATACAAGTAGTCAATTTTGACTACTTCGTTCGATCTCCGCGTCACACGCCAAGGAACGTTCCCCGCTTAAACACGTCACGAGTCGGTGGTTTAATTTCAAAAAATTACAGTTTGTGCTTCGAAATCGTGTAAAAATTACACTTCAAAAAGAGAAAAGTGCCTTATCATGTTATTTATTAAGTAATTTCATTCATATCACTTTGTATTTCTTTGTTACCGACT